AGAGCAACTCCAACGTTCTTCTTTTTCTCCGTCTCTCCTTCTTTGTCTTGTCCCTTTTCTCGAGGTCTTCCTCATCTTGAAGCACCATTTCATGTGTGAGGAGAGAACCAATAAGCTCATCGAGGGTTAAATATTTTAAATTTTTAGCCTTGATAATTGTCGTCTTCTTTGATTGCCAAGCTTTTGGAAGAGAGTAAACTAACTTCCTCACAAGCTTCTCATTTGGAATGATCTCTCCATATGATTTGAGACCATTGACAATCACGAAAAATCTATTCGTCATAGCTTTGATGTCTTCATCCGGTTTCATCCTGAAATTTTCATAGCTATGAGTTAAAAGACTAATTTTAGATTCTTTTACCTTTTTTGTGCGTTCATGAGTGACTTGTAGTTTATCCCATATTTCCTTAGCGGTTGTACAAGATGAAGCTCTCCCGTATTCATCTAGTCCAAGAGCATAAAAAATAATATGGATAGCCTTTGAGTTGAGCTAGAACATTCTTGTCTCTCATTCACTCTATAATCTTGAATGAGTGGAAAGTATGACGTATCCGTCTTCTATGATATTCCATGCTCCCATGTCACTTTCTTGAATGAAGTACCTCATTATATTCTTCCAATAAGCATAATTAGCTCCATTGAAGAAAGGAAGCTTGTTGACAAGCATTGAATCAAGACCAAATTCGAAGTTTGAAGTAGAGGTCATTGATGACTTGAATATCGATATAACTCTTCCTGAATCAACTCAAGAGGAGATTAAACCTTCAAATAAGTGAGGCTCTGATACCAATTATTGAGTTAATCGATTGACGAATCGGCCAAGGGGGTGAATTGGCAAAAAAAATTTTGTGGAAGCTTTTGTAGAAAATTTAAAATATTTGCACAGCGATTTAGAGTGGTTTGACTTTCTCAACCAAAGTCTACGTCCACTACCTTAGCTATTCACAGTAAGGATTTTCTAACAAATTCACTAATTTGTTCTTTCTTTTAAGGACAAGGAGTAACCTTACAACTCCTTCAAGAATTATACCCCAAATTCTTGAGAATTCTCTCTCCCAAAGAGAAGAATACAAATTTCGCAAACTTACAGACAAACCTTACAAGGTAAGATGTTTGCACAATTCTAGAACAAAGAAAGAACACTCAAGAATAATACAATTGAGTACAAGTAGTGTTCTTGAAAGCAAAAATGAATATTGAATAAAAATTGGCTTGAATTGCTCAAACTTGATGTTTAAGGCTTTCTTTTTGATTCTCTCTCAATTCTTGTTGATCAATGGCTTCGAAACTTGTTTATATACACCTTGGATTGATTCTAGCCGTTGGGAATCATTTGGGGTGATGTTAAAGCCATTGTAGTGTGAAAATCCTCTTGAAAAAGGCTATTGGGAGTGTGGGGTATCGATACGCCTTCAATGGGTATCGGTACCTACACTATAAAATTCAAATATTTCGACCATTAAATGACTAGGGGGTATCGGTACCTTTAAGGGGGTATCGGTACCCATTGGCATTCTGTTTTTCTCGGAGCCAAAATTGGCATAGGGGTATCGGTACCCTATGAGGGGTATCAGTACCCATTTGGCATTCTGTTTTTCTCAGAGCCAAAATTTTCATGGGGGTATCAGTACACCCTATGAGGAGTATCGATACTTCCCTATTTAAAACTTATTTTTGGCTCGATTAAGGTTCGAAATACTTTGTAAAAAGTTGTTTCAAAAATATTTTAAGATTGAAACACAATTTTACACTTAAGTAAGGATTGAAATTGACATTTGAAAACTTGGAGTAATATTTTGATATTCGAATAATATAAAATCTTAAAATTCATCAACACTTAATTAATTTGTTATATCGAAACATCAAAATGTTTTCAACAATAGGCTAAAATGAGATGAATTAATTAAGTAGTATCGATACTGATTCAATTAGTATCGATACCGAAGGGGGAGTATCGATACCGAAGGAAAGGTATCAATACCATTTTGAGACAAAATGCAAAAATGGTATCGATACCATAGGAAGGTATTGGTACCATAGTATGGTAATATCGATACCATGGTAAGGGTATTGATACCAGGTAACATCAAATCTAAAATTGGTATCGATACCGGAAGGGGGTATCGATGCCATAATATAGTAGTATCGATACCATAGTAAGTGTATCGATACTATGGAGCCAGAAATGTTAAACGTAGGTTAATATAGTTATAGAAAGTTAATGATATGTCATTTTGAGTATTCTTTAAGTATAATGGTTAGAAAATATATGAACATTGGGTATGGTGCTTGTGTTAATGGATACTTGAGTAGATTGAAACCAAGCTCCCAAGACAAGCAAAACTAAGGGCAAAGGCAAAGTACCAGAGTAATCAGCCTTGCATTTTGGATTCATAGCGGGAAAAGCCAGGTGAGTGCATTTAATTGTGTCACTATATGTTGCACTAATCATATATGTATGATTGTTTAATATGTATGTAGTGATTACCAAATAGGTACTAAGTGTGCATTTCACGGAATTCAACCTAAATGGATGAATAACCGTTTTGGCAGTAAGTGTTCATTTCACGGAATTCATCCTAAGTGGATAAATAACCGTTTCGGCACTAAGTGTGCATTTCACGGAATTCATCCTAAGTAGATGAATAACCGTTTCGGCACTAAGTGTGCATTTCACGAAATTCATCCTAAGTGGATGAATAATTGTTTCAACACTAAGTGTTCATTTCACGGAATTCATCCTATGTGGATGAATAACCATTTCGGCACTAAGTGCGCATTTCACGGAATTCATCCTATGTGGATGAATAACTGTTTCGACACTAAGTGTGCATTTCATGGAATTTATCCTATGTGGATGAATAATCGTTTCGGCACAAAGTATGCATTTCACGGAATTTATCCTATGTGGATGAATAATTGTTTCGACACTAAGTGTACATTTCACGGGATTCATAATATGTTTATGAATGATCGTATGGGCACTACGGGTGCAATACAAAGAAATGAAAATGAATGGGAAATAATGAATTGGTATTTGATCGATAAAGAATAATGATATATTGATTTCATTGTATGATTAGTTTTTGCCTCACTAAGTAATACTTAACATGTGTTTATTTCACGCGTAGGTTGAATACAAGCTGAGTAAGGAGATCCTTGGACATCTAAGCCAGAGTCGCGTCATCAGTAACCGTATGAGATACATGTCTACTTTTGATATATTTTAGTTGGCATGTAATAGAGTTTAGTAAAAACGCTCTGAATAGTATTTGGATTAAACTGTTATAAAATGGTGAAGTGTTTGAATATCTCTATTTGCTAGTCTAATTAAGTTAATGTATGCTTTATTATAAGCGAATTAAATATTTTATAAAACGAAACAAAATTTTTTGGGTTTTCGAATGAGGAACATTGATAATAGTGATGTGACATCTTTATCTCTTATACAAAAGGGTATACGGGAGATGGGTGTTACATATATATTTAAAATAACAATTCTTTTCTTTTAGATCATTCTTGATTCTTGTTCTTCGTATTTTACTCAAAACTATAAATATAATAATTAGGAGTCTATAAATATAATAATTATGAGTGTAAATGAACCGAACTTGAAAGGACAATGTTGTTTTATGTTCATTTGTCTATGTTCATGTTCAGTTCGTGTTAATTTATTTTTTAAGTATTGTGTTCGTGTTCGTTTATATATTTCTATAGGTGCTCGTGTTTGTTTATTTAACATTTGTGAACTTTTTCGTTTAATGTTAATGAACATCTTAGTTTAAATGTTCGTGAACATGCTCTTTTAGCGTTTGTGAACATGTTCGTAGGTCGTAGCGATCGTTTATCGTTCACGAACATGTTCGTTTATCATTCGTGAACATATGTTCATTTAAAATAAAAGGGAAAAGAGAGTAACGGAAAAGGTTTTTTTTTGTTTTATAATAGGAAAAATGGTAAAACTATACAACTAGTGCTTAAACTTCTTAGGATTCATAGTTTAAACTCCAAATTTCATAATATATTCAATTTAGTAGGTATCTTCACTAATATTCAAAATATAAAAAAATAAATGGGCTTTTAAATAAGCTTATTATATATACAAGCTTCTAAACGAACTTATAAACGAGTTTCTAAACGAACTTATAAACGAGTTTGTTCATGAACATAAACGAACCGAATACACATCTATTCGTGTTCATTCATTTATTAAATGAACATAAAAATTTTGTCTATACTTGTTTATTTAACTTAATAAACAAACATAAATGAACATTATACGAATGGTTCACAAACAATTCACTTAATACTCTATTCATTTACACTCGTAATAACAATAATAAACAAAGAGCTTGATTTCATAAAATATTAATAAGTTTATTAATTAAAATTAATTAAAATTTTTTATATTTAATATATTAATCATTTAAATTTTATGAGTTAAAAAATATTATTATAAAAAATAATATTTAATTTTAAATTATTACAAAACAAAGTTTGTACATTAAAAAATAATATATTTATCCATTTGATACTGCAACATTATATTTTTTCATATTACATTATATTTTATATAAAGGAATATGATACTTACGAAATTATTTAAAAATATAAATTTAATATACTAAATATATCAATTATATGTTAAATATATTTTAAAAAAAATTAAATAATATAAATAATTAAAATATTTTTGTAGTTTCTTTCTAAAATATCTGCAATTTGATTAAAATTTATCAAAAAAAAAATATATCTCAAAGATAATTTGATAAAATATTCATTCAAATAATCTTGTATTTTTGCTGCCACACTACAATCTTACACTCCTACCAATAATGGTAGTGTAATATTCCTGAAATAACATTATACTTTCGTAATCTCATTATTTCTAAAAATCTCCGGAAGGAAAACATTGTTTATTGCAAATCAGGATCCGGAGCTTGGTTAAAAAATGTATACATCATATTTTGGAAGCTTTGAGGTTTTATTTTAATTAAGTTGCTTACAAAATTTCAGCTCAGTTGTTTCCATCATTTGAAGATGGCATAATAAACAGTATCTGTAGGGAATTTTCCATACCTTGTACCCTCTCTGAATTTGTTATTTCAAAGAATTAACTCCAGTTTTAATACTTATACCAGTCTCAGTCTCAAAGACCGCAGATCCATTTATCATATTCACAGCAGAATCTACCGTCTCGGCCAACTCAACAGCTGCGCCGACATACGAATGTGGCGTTAACTTCATTAGATGGGTCTTAGCTTCTTTTGGTAATTCCAAACCTTCAATAAATTCCCTTATACGTTCTTTGGTAACTGCCCTTCCCCTGGTTAGCTCCTTCAGCTTCTCATAAGGCTCCGGAACACCGTATCTTCGCATGACCTGCCGATCAAGTTAAAACAAAAAGATGAATCAAAATACAGAATAAGATAAATGTACCAACCCCAACTGCTACTATGACTTTGAGCTTACAAAAAGATGAACAAAAATATAGAATAAGATAAATGAAGATCGAAAGATACATACAGTCTGAATCGGCTCTGCAAGTACCTCCCATGCTTGGTTTAAGTCTTCACTTAACCGAGCTGCGTTGACCTGGAATCAAAATGGAGCTTCAGAGAGATGGAAGTATGCAGTAAAGCACCCAAAACTACAGTTTACATTAAAATCAGCAAGGGCTATTTGCATTGTGCGAGATATCACACAGGTAATCATTATGAGTTGAAAAAAAAATACTAATGCTCCATAATACAGGTCATAGATGAATCATGAATTCCAAATTTTCACAAAGGAATAACTGAATCCAGCACTTAATTACTAAGAACCTTCAGCACTAAAATGATCACCATGCACTCAAGGGGATAGAAACATTTCTGTTATGCAACATACCTGGAGCTTTCCTATTCCTTGTAATGAACTTTTGTAAGCAAGAAGGGAATGACCAAGTCCACCCCCCATGTTCCTCAACACAGTCGAATCAGTCAAATCTCGCTGCAAATTCAACACAAGATGTATTTTGTTAAAACAGACTCATACTTATTTAGTTACGAACTAACTTTACATGCATAAAATTAAGCTGTTATCCTAAAACAGAATCATCTTACCTGCCAACGGGAAATAGGCAACTTCATGCTCAGATAAGTTAGGTCTTCATTAGCCTTACCGAGATTACCTTCGCTGTTTTCAAAATCAATAGGGTTTACTTTATGAGGCATTGTTGATGAGCCAATCTCACCGGCCTTAGTTATCTGCTCCAAATTCCAATAACAAAATGATAATTAGTTTGGGGTAATAATAATGATTCTAAATTTAAAGTCAACTCGCTGCATCGAAACAGTCACCTGCTTGAAGTATCCTAAAGATATGTAGCCCCATATATCTCTGTCGAAGTCTATCAATATATTGTTAAACCGGATAATCGCATAATAAAGGTTTGCCATATAATCATGTGTCTCAATCTGCAAACAAGCAAAAAACATGTTATTCCAAGTGAAGTGCATAAGCTCATTGCATATCATACCAGTACAAGGCTAACTAGAAGTGTCATTCCTTAAACTTAGGTATTTATTTTTACAACAAACGAGGAAGAAACGCAGGAAACACACCTGAGTAACGTAAGGATTAAACATTAATCCAAGAGAAGTCACAAACTCTTCTGCAACTTGAGGCCAGCTAATATTAGGATATGCAACAAGATGGGCATTGTAATTTCCAACTGCACCAGCAAATTTTCCCATCATCTTAACTCGGGAAATTTCTTGCATTTCTCTGCTTAGCCTAACAGCAAAGATGGCCATCTCCTTCCCCAAGGTTGTAGGTGAAGCTGGCTGAAAGAAACCAACTATTTAGGCTATTGCGTAATAACAGCCATCCACAGAGCAAGTGATAGTAATAAATTACATGCAAATAAAGAAAAAAAATGAAGTAATCTACGAATAAATGACTCTCTCTCTCTCTCTTTCTCTCTCTCTCTGTGGCATCAATTTGAGAAGTTGAGAGTTCAAAGACCAAAAAATCAATCAAAAGATTATTGGCTGAGTGGCTACGACACATTAAGAGTAAGAAGATTATTTCAAGAATGAGAGTACTCTTCTACCTGGCCATGTGTGCGAGAAAGCATAGAAATGCTTGCATTAGCCTTAGCAATCTTACATATAGCCTTGACCAATTCATCCATTATTGGAAACATGACTTTGGTCATTGCTTCTTTCAACATCAGTGCATGGGCGAGGTTGTTTATGTCCTCAGATGTGCAAGCAAAATGGAAAAATTCAAGGACCTGAAAGCAGAGAGAAAACGTTATTTGATCCAAAATGGATCACAATTTGTACCAATTAAACAAATTGTTGGAATGAATGAACCTGAGTCAAACATAAAGGATAGAGTGCATATATATAAACAAAATAGTATGTCCCAACCTTGGCAATTTCTGGCTGTGATTGGCATTTCTGTTTCAAGAAGTATTCAACTGCTTTTACATCATGGTTAGTTACTCTCTCTATCTTTTTAACTTCCAAGGCATCATCCATGCTAAACCCATCAATGATTCCTTGCAAATAAAACCGAGCTTCCGCACTAAAGCTTGGCACCTCAATGACTTCAGGAATTTGTGAAAGCATCAGCAACCATTTAATCTGACAGAATTTATAATCAATAAGTATCCTTCTAGAAACCAAAGAGGATACACTAAATTCATCCACATCAACCAAAACTGTGCTCATAACGTTTGCATTATATGTTGCCTTTTCATTTTCGTCAGACGACCTGTTTCTAAAACATATCCTTCCAAAGTGAGTATGCTAGTAGAAAAAATAATCACACCCCAATCAAACACATACCATATCTAACACTCAACTTGAAGCCAAGTATCATAGTTTGCATTTCACACACTCATTTCTAAAGTTTGCAATATCAGGTCCGGTGTTACACAACGTACGTTGCCTTTTGATTCACAGCACCCGAACTTTCACAACCGAACTATGTTAACCAAAATTTGTATGATCAATTCAATTTATCAGATGTATGTGAATTGATTTCAAACAAATTGCCAAAAAAGTCATAATACCAAAAGCCCCAAAGGCCAAGTTAGCATATAAATTAGAGGGAAGGGGAACAATTTGCAACGAAATTAAATTAAAAAATGAATATATATATATATATATATATATATATATACAGAGAATGCTGATGAAAAATTTACCTCAACAAGAACCCTGAAGTAAATAAGCCCGTATTCACTCATATAGGGAGCTAAGTCCTTCACTTTACCCCAATAACGACCATCCAAAGGTGATAACGCGGTTAGGGTTGACAATTCGAACTCACAAGAATTATCTTTAGAAATATTAACTACCTACAATAAATAAAGAAATTAGAACAAAAATATACATATATCTAATCTTCCACAAAAACAAGCCACTTAAAACACAATAAAGAATCATATATACCAGTTTAAAACCTAATAAATTGCAGGTATTCGTTAAATCTAACGTGTACCACCTCAAAAAGATAAACTTTTTTTTAATCCAAGCAGAATCAGAACTCTAACATTAAAAAGAAATCAATATTCCAAAATCTAAACCGAGTGAGGAGAAAAACCTGCTTGAAAACATGATTTCCGCCGGAAAAAGTAGTTGAAAGATGAAAGGAAGCATTTGAGAAATGGTGGGTGTTTTTAGTATTGTTAAAACGAGAGATGCTTTTTAAAGTTTGGAGATTTTTCGGTTGTAAATGACTTATAATAGGAGTATTATTCCTGGTTAAAACCCCGGAAGAAACCATGGCATCCATTGAGAGATGGTAGAGCTTCGAACTGTTAAAAGAGAGGCTGAAGAGTCGGGGCGAATATGGTGTGCTTGGCGGTGTATTTTCACAGGTCTTTTTGATGTATAAACCCTAACCTTCTAAGCCCAATTAAAATTGGCCTCTCTGGGTTTAATTTTTTTTTTGGGTAGACTACATAATGACCACCCAATTATACTTGATCTGGAAATAACCACTATTTCTTAAATTTACGTTAATATAATTACTAAATTATTTAAATAATTTTAATATAGTCACCTGTCGTTAGAGATGGACACAGGACTCTAACCCGATGAATTCTGATCCGATTGGGTCAGTTTTTTTTAAATATGGGTTTGAGTCGAGTTGAGTTGGGTTCGAATTTAGAGTGAAAAAATCTGATCTGACAAAAATAATATATATATATATATAAATACCTTTTATTTTTTTAAAAAATAAAAATAAATAAAAGGTATTTATATATATATTTTTTGGTTAGATCAATTTTTTTCACTCTAAATCCGAACCCGACTCGACTCGACTTGACTCAAACCCATATAAAAATACCTTTTATATTTATGGATAATTGTAAGAATATCCCACTTTATATTATTTTCAATTAAGTCCCTATTTATTAAATAAAATTAATAATTTTATATTATTTCAGGTCAATCGAGTCAGGTCGGAGTCGAGTTTTATCTCAAAAGTCGTGTCAGATGGAATTACTCTAAACTCGGGTCGGGTCGGGTTTCGGGTGGATGTATAAAATTGGTATAATTAGGGTGAGAGTCCTTGTAAAATTACGTATTCACGGCGCTTGAACCCTACTTTATTTTCTTCCATTTTGGTCCCTACTTGTATATGATTTGTTTCTTTGGATTTTCATTTAATGCAATTTGATCTTGATTATGTTTTTAATTTCTCTAATGCCTTAATTTGAACATTAACTTTAAAATCTTTTATTCTAGTCGTGTATTAAATTTATAGATTAAATCCCTTAGATTTTAGAATTAATTAATTTGATCACCAGGATTAACTTTAATTCTTAATTTTTAAATAGGTCTTAATTTCAATTTAATTTAATAAATTTATTTCTCCAATCAAATTTACACATGTAACAATTTGATTAGAGGGTTTTTTAATTTTAAATTAATTAATTTAATAAATTTTCAATCCAATTAAAAAAGGTGACACGTGTTACCTTTTGAATTGAAGTGAAAATAAATGAAAATGAGTTTTGATACCCAAGGGAATTCAACTTGGGTCCCAAGGATAACTTATGCATGCCTTAACGACTGAGTTAATTCTCACTCTTGTTATTGAGATAATATATATGTTATATAACATGTACAAGTTTAGGCAGAAAAAAATTAAAATAACTTAATTGGATTTAAACCCAAAATGAATTAGTAATCAAGCAAGCCTTAACCAATAAGCTAAATATAATATTTACGAATCAATTATAATATATATATATATATATATATATATATATATATATATATAGTTAATGATAAATAAAAATGGATAAGTAGAACTTACATCTAGGCCAATTGAGAAATTTACAACACTTAAATCACTAAAATAAATGTAATAGTTTATTTATAATTGATTTTAGATTTTGATATTTTTAAACTTAATTTATTGTTTTCATATTTATTTTTAATGATTATATATATATATATATATAATCTTTAAAAATAATTTAATATTCAAATTATAATCATGAGAAAAAAATATCTAAGATTCAAATTATAAATTTATCTTTTGATTTTAAATTGTACTCTTGAGTTCGAGTATGTTAAATAAATTTTTTATTTAATTTTTAAATATAATTTCATATATATAATAATTAATTATTAAATAAAAAATAAATAAATTTAATTTAAAAATATTAATTTTTTATTAATATGGGGTAAGTACAAAGCATTTTCTGTTCCAAGATAAACAATTCATTTACCATCGAGGTCGCGTGGTTCATGCAAAAAATTTAAAATATTAAATTAATTATAAATCATATGTTGAAAACACTTTGATATTTTGATATAGCAAACAAAATTGTTAATTAGTTTTTACAAATTTTAAGATTATATTCGATTCAATCATTCGAATATATTTAATTATTCTTTAAAGTTAAAACATCAATTTTACTCCTCACTCAACTGAAAATTTGAGTCCTATACTGGAAATATTTTTGAAATAATTTTTACTAAGGGTTTCGAACGAGTCAAAAATGATTTTTAAATATAGTAGTACCAATACTTGTCATAAGTATCGATACTATAATAGTATCGATACTTGTAATAAGTATCGATGCATATATCGATACTGAAACCCAAAACTATGAAATAGTATCGGTACTGTCAAAACATAATGTTAAAATGGTACCGATACCATATATGGTATCGATACTACTTATAGTAGTAGTACCGATACTATGAGTTATGGTATTGATACTACTCCTTTAGTTTTTGAGTCGGCGAAATTCCAGTATACTGAAATGGTACCGATACTATGTACAATATCGATACCCTTGTGACAGTATATATACCGATGTTTCTAAACGATCGAATTTTTGTATTTAATGCAGGGAGTATCGATACTGACAGATGTAGTACCGATACTACAAGCTTTTGAGTAGCCTTTAATGCAGGAAACTGCCCCTTCAACGGCTCTATTCACTCCCACAACAACTCAAATGGTTGGAATTGATTAAGAGCGTATATAAACAAGATCCTAAGCCATTTGTGAAGATAAGAGACAAAAGAGAAAGCCATAAACAATATATTTGAGCCAAATCAAGTTAACATTCTTCAAGATTCTTTTTGCTTTCAAAGAACACTTCTTGTACTTATTTGTATTCATTTCTCAAGTGTTCCTACTTGTTCTTGAATTGTGCAAACACATTCATTGTGAGGTTTTTTTATAAGTTTGCAATTTGTAATTTTCTCTTCGAGAGAGTGTCTCAAGAATTTGGGGTATAATTCTTGAGGGAGTTGTAAGGTTACACCTTGTCCTCAAAGGTAGATACAAATTAGTGAATTTGTGGAAATCCTTAGTGTGGATAGCTAAGGCAGTGGATGTAGACTTTGGTTGATAAAGTCGAACCACTCTAAATTCTTGTGTTCATTTGTTTAAATTTTTCTTTTTAGGCTTCCACCAATTTTTAAATTACCAATTCACCCCCTATTGGCTATTTCACCCTTTCGATTGACTTAACAATTGGTATTAGAGCTAGACTCATTAGAAGGTTTAACCACCGCTTGAGAAGATCCTAAAGGAGTTCAATTGTCATCCAAGTCATCCATGGCCTCTACATCAAATATCGAAATTGTTTGTGACTCTTAACCCATCAACAAGACTCCATACTTCAATGGAGCCAACTATGCCTATTGGAAGAATAAAATGAAACCCTTTATTCAAGTAAGTGATTTAGGAGCAAGGAGCATCATGATGAAATTTCACTCTACTTCAACCAGAGATTTGGAGATGTGGAGTGAAGAAGAAAAGAGATTGTTCCAACTCAACGTAAAGACCATGCATATTTTATTTTGTGCACTTGGAGATATAGGATAAACTTGAAGTTACTCATGAAGGAACAAATGAAGTAAGAAAAACTAAAATTCGTCTTCTCAATCATAATTACGAAAACTTCAAGATGAGACCGGATGAAGACATAAAATCCATGACCAATTGATTTTCAGTTATTATCAATGGTCTCAAAGGCTTTGGAGAAGATATTTCAAATGAAAAGCTAGTTAGAAAGATGGTCTATAGCCTCCCAATTCATGGCAATCCAAGAATACAACCATAGTTGAAGCAAAGAATCTAAAGACTCTAACCTTGGATGAACTCATTGGATCTTTGCTTACCCATGAAATGATGGTAAAGGAAGAAGATCAAGAAAAGAAAGATGAAGAAAATAAGGAAATGAAAAAGAAAAAAAAGATTGGAGTTGCTCTCAAATCCACCAAAGATGAGAGTGACTCAAATGATGAAAATGAGGATGAAGAAATGACAATGTTTGCCAAAAGATTAAAAAGATTCATGAAGTCCAACAAAGGAAGAAGATTCCAAAGAAAAGAAGGCTTCAAGAATGAATCCAATGAGAATGACCCTATAATTTACTATGAGTGCAAAAAATCGAGGCATGTTAAATTTGATTGCCCATAATTAAAGAAGAATGGATCCTCCAAGAAGAAGCACAAGGCACATGTAGCTACATGGAGTGATGATGAGTCATCCAACGAAGAAGAGGAAGAGGTAGCCAACTTGTGTCTCATGGCTATTGAGGGAGAATCTAAGGTAACCTATAACTCATCTACATTACATGAATATTCCTTTGATGAGTTGCAAGAGGCTTATGACGAGTTGGCCTCAGAATTTGAGATCATGCTTTCAAAACATAAGAAAAATATTTCAAAATTAAAAATGAAAATGATCTCTTATCCAAGACCAATAATGAACTTGAAAGTAAGGTCAATGATATGCAAGTCAAACTAGAGGAGTTTGAAAAGAAAAATCATGACTTGCACAACCTACTTTCAAAGGTTCATGATGATCATCAAAAGAAACTTGATGATCTTAAAGCTTTTTTTAACAAAGTTGGAACAAATCGGTTTGAAAAAGAACAAAATTCAAAATCCAACTATGTTAGAAATAGCTTTAGACCATACAACCATAGAGGTCCCCAAATAACCTCAAATGGTAAAGTTATTAGAAGTATACGGTCCCTAAAGGACTCATTACTACTAAAGAAAATGATATCCTAGAAAAATGGATACGTAAGAGGATTAGATTATTGGGAACTAATGCCTATGGCCCCAAAAGAATTTGAGTACCAAAAATCAAAACTTAATCTATGTTTGTAGGTGGAGGAGCATTGCTACATGGCACAAAACAAAAGCTCAAACTCATGGTACTTTGATAGTGGATGCTCAAGACACATGACCGGTGATAAGAACCGGTTCTTGGAGCTGAATGCTAAAAGTGGAGGAGTAGTAACCTTTGGTGGCAATTCAAAAGGTCACATTGAAGGAATAGGTTCTATTGGTAACAACTCTTCCATTCTTATCGAAAACGTTT